GTGTGTGTGTGTGTGTGTGTGTGTGTGTGTGTGTATCACAGCCTCGTACAAATGAAATGACTTCTTAACCATGATTGGTGCTGTATTGGTGCTTGCTAGGTCTTTATTAGGATTTCGTCACTGCTTGAAAGAAACCAGTCTCTTCCCTGATAAAAAATATGAATAGATTGTTAGTCATAAACTCAAGTGCAGTCAGAATAGACTGTAGCTGTAAAAGAGATGTGTTGGTGACTTGAGGTACACCTGCAACACAGGTAGGGCCGGACTGGTTTCTAAGCAACTGTCAGAGGTGAAGAAAGGTGAGGTTAAAATGCCTTTTCTTCTTCTTTTTCTGAAGAACAGTGTTCTGCACGGTTTTCAACTTTTATAAATGTGTAAGAATGCAAAGGGTGTATGTTTGCTGAGAATACTGAAATATCTAAGTTCACCATACCAAGTCTTGCCTCCCCCCCCCCCCCACCATAATTACAGTTTTAAGCGAGGTTTTGCCTAAACAGACCAGACAGCAGGAGGCCGGGTACCCATTTCACTAAATGACCAAATTTTGCTGAGACAGAATAAAATTTGGTTTCTTGTTAATGGTGCTATGATTGGTTACCAGTATGTTATCAAATAGCATAGTCCCATCTCCTCCAGGTATTAGCAGATCTGGAGAGAAATACATACAGGTTTTAGCCTGAACTTCAGACACTCTTTTGTCATTCTCCTCATTTCACACAGGCTTGTTTTCACCTGTGTGTTTCGTGGGTACTGGCTGATAGGTGCTAAGGTCCTGGACTAAGCATTTATAACCTAACATATATTAGACTGTAAACTCCTTCAGGGCAGGAACTCTTCCTTGTACGGCTTCTATCTCACGCAGCCTTGCGCATAGTTGATGGTTGATAACTAATTGCATGAAAGCACATTTTACGTCTTAAAGCTCAGCAGGATTGGACCAGTCACTGATAAGGGTGGAAAGCAGATCTCTTTATGGCTATTATGAAATGTCTGAATTATTCATATTTTCAACAGATAGGTAAAATTACTGTTTGAGTGAATTGTTTTTCCTCCTTTCAGTTCACAATAGATCCTGGTCCCTCTTACCGTGAGGTTTAATTATACTGTAGACTTGAGTTTTTGTGTGAAAACAACTCCTAACTGCTGCTTCTCAGAAGTTGAACCAGATAATACTCCCTTTCAGCTAATACTAATGGTAGCTTTTAAAAGCAAGTTGCCTAAATTACAGGTACAATCTAACATGCTTGAAACTGACCTGAATGTCTACATACCATCAGGTTGCTTTAGAAAGGTGAGCAGAGGAGGGGAAGGTGGTGCCAAGGGTAATTCCAGGAATTTGAATGTCATCAGCTCCCTCTGCCAGAGAAACAGCTCTGCTTTTAATCTAAATAAATCTGAATTGGAACCTCATCATCAGGATTCCTTTCGCATCTTTTGGTGCTGGTGTTTGGCCATGCTTTGTACAAGCTAATGAATAACTCACTAGGTCGCTAGATAAACAAGATCCAGTTGTGGCTTTTCTGGCGTTATCCACACAGCATAAATGCATACTTTGGAAAGGTGGATGAAACTGGTGAGTTTCAGAGTTCTGAACGTTAGTTAGTTGCCAGCGGAACAGAGGAATTTGCTTTAAGGTAGGGAAAAGGTAGTGTGGCCTTCAGGTTTCAGAAGGGAAAAGGATTCTGCGATTTGGAGTCATTGTTGAGACTTCAGTCCAATTCCATATACTGACAAATTGGGTAGCACTACTAAAAGACCAGCGTTCCAGGCCTAAGTGAGTGTATTTGTCAAACCCGGGCCTCTGGCTGTGTGAGTTTTAGCCCTTGTCCACTGCAGAGTGTCATGGTTCAGCATTACAGAGGAAGCAGGAGGATGGTGAGGATGAGAAGACATTGTCCAGAGCTTTTATTGAAGATCCACAGAACATGAAATTGCCCAGCTAGAGATTATTTAAAATACCATTTCCCTGTGCCTGGAATGCTCTTCTGACTCCTCGCATGGCTGCCTCTTTTTCATCCTTAAATTTCAGTTTAGAAAGTCACCTCAGAGAGGTCTTCCCTAACCGCCTGCGTACATCCGGTCTCCCTTCCTGATCCTCCCTTGGAAGTTATCACAATCGGAAATTGCTTGCTTGCTGGTTGTCTCCTCATTAGGTTGAGACTTCCTCAGGCAGCGGCCCTGTCTCCTCCACTAGCATAGCATCTACTCCAGAATAAGCATCTGATAACGACTTGTGAAAATAATTCATCCTTGCTTCCTAAGAATTTGTGAGTGAAACCCTGTGAGTGGAGTTCTGATCTCTGTGATTGACTTGTGATGAGGTCTCGTACATTTCACTCGGCCATTCCTGCATCAGTTTCCCAAGAACATTGGCAAGAGAAGGGAGGTTGTTGCCTAAAATGAAGATGCTTTGGAGAGGAGAGGAGAGGCCTGGAAGGATCTCAGGAAGTGCTGGGTCATAGGGCAGAAGAGCCCCGATGGCCCTTCTGCGAACAGGAAGATGTTTTCACTTCCTCATCCGCAAAATGGACAGTGTCATCCCTGCCTCCTCTTCCAGGGATGTTGTGGGGATCAGGTGAGCTAATGTGTCAGAAAGTGCTTTGTAATTTGTAGCATGCTTTACAAATACAAGATATTCTGTTATTAAGTTCCAGATTTGAAAATAGAGCCTGATTATAATGCCATCGCTGGGATCTGTTCTGGGAGAGTATATTAAAAGGAGGCCCATTGGGTATATTGTAATATCCCCTTTTTATGGGTAAAGACAGATCCGTGTGATCCCAGATATCATGTTGTAACGGGTTATGTAATGGTGGGGCATCAGTGTATCATTAAAGATTGAGGGCTTCAAAAGAACTGCTTGAAGTGGTCACAGAATATAAGAGTCATACCTTCACCCACCCTTCTAGAGGATACATAGGCCAGATGCGCAGTTCATAACTTTCACAGGAGAATTTGAGGGAGGTGAAGTAAAACAGGAAATTTCACAGTCCACGGGTTACCCAAGAAAAACTAGTACCAGGCAGCAAATCCCCAGGACAGTCTGCCTGAGCCACCCTTAACATGAGCCTTGTAGTGGGTCAGACCTTATTCCCAGTCTGGAGAGCCTGAGGAGCGTGGAGGCCCAGCGGTGTGGTGGTGGTGAGAGCCTGGCTTAGCTGTCAGCCCCACAGCTCACCAGCTATGACCCTGGAGCAAGTTACTCACCTCCAAGTGCCTCCAGCCCCGCATCTGTAAATGAAGGTAATGGTAGTAACCCGCCCCACACGGTTGTTGAGAAGATTAAATAAGTTACACATATAAATCACCCAGAACAATGCCTGTCAGATGAGTTTATTATTCTTACTGGCTTTATGTTCATTGTAACAATCTGGAGTTACCCATTGGGTGACTCCAGTGCTCATTAAGTAAATTTAAAGTTTTAAAGACTCCTTTCCCATCATTAGACTATTGTGCTCGTTGTCATTAAGATTAGAATAGAACCCACGTATCTTTTCCATTTGGAAATCTATGTGTGTGTCTAAAAGGAATAATATTTTCCCATCCTGTGTGTGTGTGTGTGTGTGTGTGTGTATGTGTGTGTATTGCTGCTGGTCGGGGCACTCTGTAGGGAAGAGTTACAAAGGACAAGAGACTATCCCCGCTCTCGTACATTTCTGCCATTGCGCGAAGATTGTGTGGGACACTAAGTGAATCAAAAGGCTATTGATGACTATGGCAGTGGAACGAATAGGTTTTTTGTTAGTTTGCCGTTTCTTAAAATACTCAGCTAGAAAATACTCTGGATTATTCCAGAAATTAGGTCACTTAGCTTTGATTTCAGCAGTCTGAAGAGAAATTATTTTCCTTGTTGCCTCAGTTTTTACCACCTACAAGTGGGTCGTTCTGTGCTCCCACGCTGGAGAGAGGTGAGGACTGGAGCTGCAGGGGACAGAATGTTCCTCTCACCACGTAGAACCGTCTCCATCGCTGCTGAAACCGGCACGCTTACCTGGAATTCATGCAGGAGAATTCTAATTACATTTTATTTATTAACTTAATGTAAAAGACATTAAGTTCTCTATGCTTTTGCTATGAAGGCCATTTATGCTTTCTGTGACAGCAGGGTACCACAAAGGAAATTTCTGAACCTCCCCCTTCACTCCCTTCGTCCAAATTGCAGTCTGTTAAAGGGAAATCTGAGAAAAAGCCCGAGTTAGGGCCTTTGATTGTGAAGAGTCCTTTGCTAGTAAGTAAACTCAGATCACGCAGCACCCTAACTGTCGTAAACACTGAATATGTTCGATGAATATGGAATCAGTAAGTTTCTCGTATTACTAATAAAAGTTACAATTCTGTAAAACGGCTAAACTAAATGTTCAGTGTGTCAAATAGCTTGGGTGCTAGTGCTTTAGACACTGATCACAATAAAAGTCATGGATTTTGTTTTGTTTTTAATGTTCTGAAAGGTGATTATTTTAGGCATTTTCAGACTGAAGATAAACACGCAGATGTTGGTTTATTTGGTTGGCTTATCCGAAATCATGGGATTTGTCATGCTCCAAAATCAGTTTCTTTTTACAAATTTTTGGCTCTAAGTAGGATTATCTTTTATCTCCCTTGGTAAGGAAATAGTCGTGTAGGTAGTTGTTAAATAAGGTTGAAAAGACCCATTTATCACCCTGAATAAACAGAAATCAGGTTCTCAAACCAGATTGAGAGAAGGAAATTACATCACACTTTTAAATAAGGAAGCACTGGGCAGAACTGGGTGAGTTGTATGACAAAAATGTGCCCCTCCCCCTCTTGTGGATTGCTTCTGAGATTTATTAATGAGATCTGGTGGCAAGGTAAACACATGTAGGTTACCCTCTGAAGGTAGCCTCGTTTAAAAACAAAAAAAAACGTTTTCGAAGTGACTTCCCTCAAGCTAAAGGCATGTGATTTCACCTTAATAAAGCATGTATGTATGCTCTGTGGTGGTAGCCTTTTTTGTTTTCTTTAAGGAAAGTGACCTTAAATTTAGCAACAAAAACAGTAGGTACAAAAAGGAAGAGTGTGGAAGAGAAGGTGAAATTCGTTATTTTCAGAAAGCTCTTCCCTGGTTGCTTAAGTAAATATACAGTAACAGAAACCAGTCTGCAAATGGTCCATTTTAGGTTTTGGAAATGAATTTAATGCAAATGCCTTGCCTGCTGCTTCCCTGAACTTGTTACATTATTATCAGGAGGTTTATCCCTTAGTTTGCTGATTTACAGTAAACATGAATCTGTCCTGTCATTACTTTTTTAAAAACGAGATTAGTATTTTCTCAGTATCGATTTAGTAAATATTTACTAGAAATGAATGACACCAGGATCTACCCGGGAGTGGAGGTGTGGGGGGAGGGTCCCAAAAGATTTGGAGGATGGGTAAGGAGTCAGGGCATGGCACAAAAACGGCGCAAGAGTGGAGACCCCGCTGTGGCTTTTCAGAAGGGAAGTGGTGAGTGGAGAAGGTGGTGTGACAGATGGCCTCCAAGGACAAGGTGGATTCTAACAGATTTGGGGAAGACAGAAGCCGGAGTTTGAAAAAGGTGGGTCAGGGTCTGCCTTGTTTTCAAGGCCATAACCTGAAGGGCTTTGATTTAGAAGCCCTTGAAGATTTTTGAGCAGTGGAAGATCTGAATTTGAGCTCCAGGTCAGGAATATTGATCCGGTCCTGGTGTGTAGGCTGGATTAGGTATTTTCACACGCAGGGCAGTGTGGTTCCAGTCAACGGAAGGAAGACGGGTTTGAGAAGCTGCATAGAAATAGGCTATGGAACTTGGTCGTTGAATGTATACCTGTAACTCAGGTGAAGAGTGGTGCCTGTGGAAGCTTGATCCTCCGATCCTCGCAGACCCCGAACTGGTTTGGGAAGGGGGATGGGGTGTGAAGTAAGTGACAGGAGTTCGGTCTGTAGAGTTGCAGATGCCAGAGGACCGTCCAAGTGGAAAGATAATCACCAGACAATAGGAAATGCAAAGTGGAAGCTTGAGCCGGGGCTGGAGTGGAGATTCAGGAGAGGGAGGAGCTGTCTGGTAGAGTTGGAGCCATCGCAGTGGATCAAAACTGGGGTGGGGGGGGCGCGAGGGTTGCGAGGAGAGAAAATAGAGGGAGGGCTGCCGCAGGAAACAGATGGTTTTAGGGGATATTATATTTTGTCTTGAAGTTTTTTAAAAAAGTGATGTTAATAAGAAAAAGTCGTTCATATCTGGGATTGCTATTTAACTGACTAGTTGATGGATTTGGGGAAAGTTCTTACACCCGAGGTCATTTAGGCCCCGTCCTACACCGCGCTGCCTGTGTGCACGTTCTCCTTCCTACTTTGTGTTTCGTCCAAGAATGCCATCTTGTACTTAGAGACTCTGATCTGCACACGTACGCGTGTTTCTGCCGTTGCTGCCTAATGAATTGTCAGGTAGACTTAGTTTGACAGTCACACTGGAACAAGATTCGAAACACTGGCTCAGTGGTGTTTCTTTTTGACTTGACGTTGACCTGGCTGATCTTCCCCTAGGAGGAGTGCATATGGAAGGCTTGGGGAGTTCGGAGTTCGGAGGGAGGCGGGGAAGAGGTGGCTTCCTGCCTCCGCCGGCTGCCCCAGGAACACGCAGGAAACGCTTGCTCCCAAACCTACGGCACGTCCCCCTTCCCGAGTCTGCAGTTGGAAGTTATTTTCCAAAAGAGAACACGAAGCTCGCTTCTCCGAGCAGCAAGTAGGAAGTCCGGACAGTTTCATAACATGGCCCATTCACAATTCCCCATTGAAATGTGGAGGCAGGGTCACCTTCTATGAATACACAAAGACACTATTGTGGTCAGAAGTGAGCTGGCTTAGTGAACACAATTCTTTTTATACTAAAAAAATTTTTTGCTTAAGAAAGCTAACATGTCGGTGATGGGAACAATGAATAAAAAATAACTTTCGAGAACGTATACGAAATTTTAAGGGGCCACTGAAATGTGAGTTTAGAATTCCGAGGCCATTCCAGCAGAGGCGATAGTTACACAATCATTCTGTTGAAAGCTAAGATTTAGATGGCATTAGGAGGCTGACACACAGTAATTACGAGAGCACTCGCTGGCCTGCAGACAGGTGGGGGTTGGGCCTCCAGAATCCCCCGCAGCATTTTCCTGTAATCTGGATGAGTGATCTCCAAACGTGTGCTTTCAAACTACTTAAATACCATATTCTTCTTCCTATCTGGCCTTTCGTTTTTACATCACCCTGGATGCCTGCCCCGTGGTCTTGCCCCAGCTTGCGGGGCGCTGGGGGAAAGCGCCACATACCTACAGGCCAGGTGCCTGGAGGGAGCCCCAAGCAGTGTTTTCTAAAAATGGGCTTTCAAAAAAAATTTTTTTGTAGATTTCCTTAATCCAGGTGAGGTAAGAACACAACGTGTTTGATTTCAATCCTCTAAAGACCAAAAATGACAAATCAAAAGACGACCTGCCACTAACTTAGATTTCTTAAATGGCGGGTGGTTGTTTTTTTCCCCCTGTTCTTCATCCTGTATCTTTGAGCAACGGATCACAGAAAAAGGATGCTTGACTCTTTGAAATAATGTTTGAAACCTATTTAAGTCTCTGCCTAACGTATCGAGGCAGCTGGCTTTAGGAGGGTAAAAAGGTGAGGATCAGTGACCAGGACCCATCTGCACTTTGTCCCTGAAACTTTGCTGCTGGCTCTCCATTTCCTTTTGTGTGAAAACCAAACGGTAAACACTCGCAGACTATGTTTTAGCTCTGTAGCTAAAAAAAAAAAAAAAAAAAAAAGACTGTGCTTTATTCATTGTAGACATTGGATGCTGACGATGGTAAAAGTCAGATGGGGTCGGGTAGTAATCGTCCAGCGAGCATTCACCTCTTGAACACTTCCGGTGTTCCAGGTAGTGATGATCGGGACCCAGCCTCTTTCCTGGACTTGCAGTCTAGCAGGTGACAGATTTGTCCATGCAACAACAACAAAATGGCCCGTGTACCCCCTCCACCTTCCACCGCGGATGTTTCGCTCATCTGAGTCACCCCGGGTCCTTGGCACACCACCCGGCTCTCAGGGGGCGCACACCTGCTTGGTGAGAGAATGGGAAAGCCTCGCCAGGTGGCTGTGCACATCCCAGAGGGGGTCAGTGTTGCACAGAGAGTTGACACATTGCGTCCTAGTGTCTACAAGAAAAAGTCTCGACTGGCTATAAGCAAACATGAATATCTGAAGAAAGCGGAGATGGATGCTAACGAACCCTTCTAGAAAGAGGGTGTGGGGCCTGGGGGACCGCAGACACTGGCCATCTGACAAAGACGAGGGCCCTCACACTGAGGCACTACTAGATTGAGGAAAAGGCGCCTGCTTCACCTCTGTAATCCTTGCCTTGCAGCGAGGCAAGACTCGGATCCCCAGGCACTTCGTGCAGAAGAATGTGAAGAATGTACCTTTAAGTTTGTCTTTCTAGAGGGAGGAGGAAGCTGTCCAGTCCTCCGACAAAGCTAGTGGCCTTGCAGAACTTGATTTTTACAGGATAATGGAAATTAGTATCTTCACCTGGAACTCTTTCTTTATTCTCAAAACAGGCAGTACCTGGAGAATTTGTCCTCCTGGGGCCAAGCCTGAAATACAGCCTGTAGACAGCTGCCAGGCAGGGGGGTAACCTGGGGCCGCAGTAGGCTCTCTCGTTCTGTCGAAGCTCTGGGTTTTAGTGAACGTTCGAGCTGCAGTACTGAACGCAGTAATTTCTGAGATCGCTTTGTTGGCTGGGGGGACGGCGAGCCCCATGGCCGTGACCTCCGCACCCTGGAAGGTCGGATGGGAAGTTAGAGAACTGCATGCTGGGGACAGGTGAGCGCGATGTGCTGTGTAGCTGTCTGGCCACAGTGGGAGTCCACTGTTGCCCATCGTACATTATAGCTCACTTTGCTGAAAACGTTTCAAAGCTTTGATTAGTATTTCCCCCCAAAATTGTTCTTAATGTCTCCATTTAAGTACCATCATGAGAAGTGAGAATTCGCTCATGCGAAGATGTCGGAATTGAATGAACGCCTGTCACTACGTTTTTCTGCCCGGCATCCCCTGAAGTTCTCTGGTACTAGCTAGTGTGGGTATTTCGGAATTGTTTATTCTCTCGTCTTTTTGTCATCCCCACCCCTAGGGACCTCGAGCTGCTGGTTGGTGACAGATCCCTAGGCGTCCCCAGTGAGAGACCTCCAGAGTAAGGCACAATGTCCACAGCAGGAGTTGCTGCCCAGGAGATTCGAGTCCCATTGAAAACCGGATTCCTGCACGATGGCCAAGCCTTAAGGACCGTGAGGGCCTGCTGGGGCGGCCGCAGCGAGTTTGAAAAGTGAGTGCGGGACGGAACGTCCCCTGGAATCTCCCAGCCTGTGATTTTAAAACAAGACCGAGAATATGGTGGCTACTCACTCACGATCAAGGTGTTTTTCCTTCCCTTTCAGTCACTTTTTGAACATCGACCCGATAACCATGGCCTACAGCCTCAACTCTTCGGCCCAGGAGCACCTCACATCTCTTGGTACGTGTCCTGAAACTCCACGGGGAGGGAGCTGGTGCTTCAAGGGGAAGTTGACAGTGGGGATGGTGCTGGTGCATCCTCCGGGGTGACTTTTGAGCGAGGAAGCCACCTGAACTATTTCCAGCAGTAGCCTGACCCCTAGTGGCGGCAGGTTCTGAAGAGAACGCGTTGGGCCCTCAGCCTCCCCGCCTTCACCCTGACTCACTGATGCCCTGACGACCTGGGTGCAGAAGCGCCGTCGTTCACAGTCCGCGGGTTCTAAGCCCAGCTCTGTTCCATGTTTAACTTGTGGAGACCTTGGGCCAGATCCCTCCCCTTTCTTACTGGTGTTGGATCCCCATGTGAGGGAGATCAGGGAGTGTACGTGTGGATGAACACTTGTGAGGGTGTTCTCTGCTGTCTGGTGCTTGTGACGTGACCGCTGTGGTCCTTAGATTTTTGTCAAGAGCGCGTAGCGCATCGCAGGCAGGTCCACACTCTCCTAATGCCGTGACGGCTCCAACCGTGAGGACCCGGTCTTATCTCCCTCACAGCCTGCGTGCCTCGTATTGTCGCGTCTCTTAAATGGCTAGGCCGGTGTGGTGTGGTATTCACGTAAATTATATGCTGCTCCCTTCTGCGAATTTTGCGCACGTCACCAGACCTGCCCGGGATGTGTGGGTGTGCACCGTGCACACGGCCAAGGAAGATAGAAGAGATAATTTGTTCTTTGAACCAGATCATGTGCATTAGCAATCTTCTGGCCTCTAATTACACCTGTGGCCGTCGCCTGGGTGTCCTCGGGATTGCCGCGACCGAGTGTCGGATACCCCAGCAGAAAGCTGCCGGAGCCTGGGCGGCTGGGGAGGGCACGGCGGCTCTTTGGCTAACCTCTGTCTCGTGCATTCCAGGGCGCGCTGCGACGTCCGCGCCAAGGAGCGGCAGCCACTTTGCAGAGCACGGCCCCTCCCAGAAGCCCAGCTTGGCCCCTCTTATCATTCCCCCGGGCGAGCACCCGGGACCGCGGGAAGAGGAGCGAGTCGCGTGTGGTTTTAGGAAACTCTCGGTGAACGGCGTGTGTGCTTCTCCCCCTCCGCTCACACCCATAAAGAGCCCCCCTTCCCCCTTCCCCTGCACGGCCCTCTGTGAACGCGGTTCCCGGCCCCTCCCGCCACTGCCCATCTCCGAAGACCTCTCTCTGGACGAGACAGACTGCGAGGTCGAGTTCCTAACCAGCTCGGACACGGACTTCCTCTTGGAAGACTGTACGCTTTCTGGCTTCAAATATGATGTTCCTGGCAGGCGAAGCTTCCGTGGGTGTGGACAGATCAACTACGCGTATTTTGATACCCCAGCTGTCTCCGCGGCAGATCTCAGCCAGGCGCGTGAGCAGAATGGAGGTGTGCAAAATTCAAATCCTCCTCTGCCTCAGACCCACCGGAGATTAAGAAGGTCTCATTCGGGACCAGCTGGATCCTTCAACAAGCCGGCCATCAGGATATCCAGCTACATCCACAGAGCTTCTCCGAACTCCGACGAAGACAAACCCGAGGTGCCCCCCAGGGTCCCCATTCCTCCTCGGCCCGTGAAGCCAGATTACAGAAGGTGGTCGGCGGAAGTCACTTCCAGCACCTACAGCGACGAAGACCGGCCTCCCAAGGTACCACCGAGAGAACCGTTATCACGGAGTAACTCCCGCACGCCAAGCCCCAAAAGCCTTCCGTCTTACCTCAATGGGGTCATGCCCCCCACGCAGAGCTTTGCCCCTGACCCCAAGTACGTGAGCAGCAAAGCTCTGCAGAGACAGAACAGCGAAGGGTCTGCCAGTAAGGCTCCCTGCATCCTGCCCGTCATCGAAAATGGGAAGAAGGTGAGCTCGACACACTATTACCTACTACCTGAGAGACCGCCGTACCTGGACAAGTTTGAAAAGTTTTTCCGGGAAGCAGAGGAAACAAACTCAAGCACCCACACCCAGCCGCTGTCTGCTGACCGCGGTACAGCCTCGGCCGCAGAAAAGCTGGACTCCAAGACAAGACTGGACCTGGGGGGCCACGTGAGGCGTAAACACTCGTCCTACGTGGTTTCTCCTTAGGCTTCGGCGTCGCGGGTCAGCGGGGGTTCCGTGGGAGCGAGTGGCTCCCCAGCCGCCCTCCAGGCCGGTTGAGGTTCGCAGGAAGAGGTCTCGGATTGCAGAACAGAACAGCTGAACCCTCCGTCTTAGAAAGGGTAGGGGTGGTCGCGGGGCGATCTCGGGCCGAGAATCCCCGATCGTGCCGGCGTTGGAGAAAAGTCTGTTCCGGTCCGTAATTTAAAAGTGGGCGGGCAGGCAGGGAAGGCTGGGGAACCTTGGACATGTGCATACATTATAGGCCTGTGTAGAAACTCGTGCTGTAACCATAGACCGTAGCTGCAGGGTAACCAATTAGTTGCTACCTTAGAGTAATATATATTCAAGATGGTAAAAGCTGAGGGGGCAACTCCTGACTGAAAATTGAGCGAATGGAAGAAAACACAGTATTGTTTAGATCAGAATCATTAAAAAAAAAAAAAAAAAAAAAAAATTTTTTTTTTTTTTT